CACATTCTTATCTCGGGACACACGTACCTATGTAATCACGACACGTTCAAACAATCATCAACATCGTGCAACAATACTTGTTCGAATCGTGCCAAGAAAATCTAATCGCTAAAGGAAATCAATGGATCAATGGATCAATGGATCGTGGTAATTGTAACAGAGCGTTTATTGCGCCATTTATGACTCCATAAATCAAATGGCGCCAATCGTTGACATTTATCGTTTCTTTTCTTAACGAACTAGCTGGAAAGAAATTATTTGGTCGCTGACCTATCAAGGCGGCGCGTCGCACGCCGCACCTAACTTCTTATCTATTTCTTTTCGAAAATATTTCTCCTTATCTTTTTTTCTTTCGTTCCGTCTGTTTCGTTCTCCTCTTTGACTTTTTATCGTTGTTTCATCTTCGATCCGTTGACTGAATTTTCAATTCTTACGGCCGACACGTATGTCGAGGACACCCGGTATACTCTCGCCAAAATTCCACGACATTCGACGTCCTGGTTGTTGGAGTTTTCTTACATTCACCTCGTTAGACCGCATTCCAGTCTTTGTGTCCCTCTTTTCCATCGCCCAGCTGCTTACTTTTTCTCCTCTGCTTCTTTCTTCATCGTCGCTCGTTCCTTATACAGTGTATCGAAGATGACTTACGGGATTGGGCTCTGGTTGCCGAGCTTAAGAGGTAATGACGGTAATATCGCTGGTGAAGAGGTTCGTTGTGCAGCGTTTGATATGGTTGGTTCGCGTCTTCTTTCTGAACTTTCTCCGATCGTCTTTTGGGCTCAATATTGTAATTGCTTTACGGTTGAAAATATCAAATAAAAAAGATCTTTTGCTATACCATAATTGTGGATATTAGAATTGATTCATATCATTTCAAGCAGTGTGTGGCAGTCTTAATTACTACACACGAGTAGAAACTATTAGCGAAAATTGTATTACATGGCCATTTGTTGCATTCGATACTGTTAAATTTTCGTTCGAAACTGACTTTTCTTACGTGACCGCAAAGTGGTTAAAAAATTGTTTGTCAGATAAAGTATCCTGTATATACAAATTATCTCTACAAAAGGTAGCATCGTGATCTTCGTTCTTCCTCCTATATTCAATTTCGACAATATGGAACTTCGAAAAGAGGAAGGTTTAATTACTTCCATTGCAATCTTCTGGTCTCTTTTCCTGGAGTGTCCAAATCTCGAAAGAGTTTCATATGCCATAACCCTCGCTTCGAATACCGACTGGCATACATTCTCAGCTTCCTTCAGTGGTTCGTTTAGTATCACGACAGACGAAAATCCTGACCTGGATTCTCAGACGCGCTTCACTGTGAGCCCAGAACAGTAGATAAGAGGAAACCAACATTCCCTCGAAACGTAAATCAATCGAGGGCTGTCACGAGTCGCTTCTAAACACGTTAGTTTTATAGACAGACTGAAAATAGATAGTGATAGATATACGAGTGTTGTTCCAAAAAGAAATTTTACTAACTTGCTAAATAGTCCAAAGCTTTTCCGGAGTATGATGTAATGTTCTCAATTTCTTGTTTCTTTGTGGCACGGTTTTATCAGATTATAACATATATGATCAAATGGAGCCGAATACAAGGAACACTAAATATTTTTGCATATTATGTGCACTCTGTACGTTATTCCACATTTAAATATCCCGCAAATGCATAAAGCTTTACAGTCTGGTAATCGATCAACGATGCATTTTTCTTTATTTTCTACTATTATTTACCCTTTTTACTTCTATATTTTCTATTCCACTGTCATAAAGCTCTCGGCTGATCTTCTAATACTTTACAATTGTTATTTACGAGGCAGCCTGTACATGTGACAATTTCAACGTCGTCGTTCTCATACATTGACAAGCCTATTACGTTCAGCATAAACAAGCAACTTCATGAATTGAATTTTATTCTCCAATTTGAGTTCCAATTGACATGGAGATTCGTAGAAGTCAAACCATAAAATCGATCGATTTTTCGATCCCGTTAATTGCTCCGCTACCCCTTGTTGAAACGGGGGCGGTTGTAAAACTGGGACAACGATAACTCGATTCTGCGAATAACGCGGCACTTTTTGTCTTCGGTCGTTCTAGCATGACGAAAAACTTTCGTCACTCTCCTCCGCATTGTGTACAGTGTCCAGCCTTTTATCTCTGGCGAAGAAAAAAAAGCATAACTAATAAGATAACGTCTTTACGATCATCCTCGTTCTTTCGTCCATTCATAAAATGGTGCCATCTGTTTTATGTAAGAAATAAAGGAATTTCAAAAATTGACGTTTATTATTGATAGAATTCTTATTAATGACTTTGTAATATCTATATTGGAAATAAAATATTTAAGACTACGAAGGTTTTATAAAAACTATCACAATGACCAAAATCTCTCATTAAATTTCAATATTATCGAAAAGCTTAACATCAGAATTGCCAAATAATTAGTAATCGACATCGAAATGAATCTTTTACATAAAGATCATTTAAATTTCTTAAAATACGGCGTGAATTTATTAAATTTCTATGAGACTACAAATTTATCATTTTGTCTATACCAGTAGTTCCGGTATGAGATTCGGACATGAGTGTTTACGTTATGGGGGAGGGGGGTAGTCTTCTTTCTACGCTTTGAATAACAATTATCAGAGATTTAATGCGTTTATTTCATTAATTCACGCGCCATATAATAGTCAAGCACATCTTCGTTAATTTAGTTCATTGCTTTTTCCTAGAATCCCGACGTACGACCTGGTTTTCGTTCTTAATTCGAGGCTTTTCTCACGTGCGCGTTCGCTATGCGGAATTCATAAGTTCGCGGGGTCGCCGTGGCGGGGAGGGCGGCGCTACGATCGCGGCTCTCGCGGCATCAGCGCGACACAGTCGCTCAGTTCGAGTCTGACCGTCACGCGATACTTATCAATCCGGCTGCCGGTTACGTGTGTGTCCTCAGTGTCAGCCGGTACACATTTTACTCATTCATAGATATACGAAATATAGACTGCGTGTACCTCAGAGCCTTAGAAATATCAGAGATATTTAACGTGATTTCTCTTTCTCTTTCTAAAAATTGACGTTCCAGCCACAGAAAAGGAACGGAAGACCTCGCTGTTTATCTCTTCTTTTTTGAAACGAGGATCACGCTTTTCATAAGGCATTCGCGATCTATATTTATGTTCATTTATACGTTCTCCAGCATAATCATCCATCGAAATCGATCATCGTTCAATATTCCCCGTTACGAAAGTGACGGATCTGATTAAAAAGTCATCGTTGCGTAATTCGTAGTCAGGATGAAAGAACAATCACACGAGTAGTCAAAAACCACAAGTAACGATGACACGTAAAATTGAACGAATATCGTTCCGTGTGACGCCAGTGCCCGTGCAGATCCGGGAATCGCATCGGGATGCTGCGAGTACATGTCGATCGAGGTTCTCAAAACGATAAGGAGGCAATGGCGGGGAGAAGAAGAGATAGTAAAGAGGAGTAGGTTGCAAGAGGAAGTGTGCGTGCCCTCGCTGAACTGTCAAATGGTTAGTGTTTCGGCCACTCGCGCGCCACTGTGCCCGTTTAAATACCGTATCGTTCTTCTCTTAACCTTTTTATATCACTGATTGAATGATCGTTCGTTGATTATACCAAGTAATTTTGGCCAATTTTCATATGTGACAACTATTTGTACACAATTTATGTAATCAAGTAATGCTTCTTATATGAATGCTTTGTATTTTCTCTGCTATCTTTATCAATTTTTACCTGTGATAAATATCACCGTACAGTCCTTGTAGTTAATACTATATAACAATATGATAGCGTTCCTTTTATAAACTTTGAAAGTTTTAGGTTTTTCAATATTCATTGATAACTTTGATGTTATTCCATGGTACGATTTAGGTGTCACTAATGTATAGAATTAGTATCAAATCAGGACATTCTAACAACAATTATTGAATTAGCGCTAAACTAATGTCTCGCCTTACTATCGCATGTCAATATAGAGTACGCGTGTACTCTCCGTTTACACGTGTACTAAACGCGAGTACACTCTGTTTACATTTTGCCACAGCAGTTTTTTAAACGGGTACTCGACGTGCGTGTATGCTGGTGTGTTGATACACAAGCGCGAGCGGTATGCGAACGTGTTTCCTTTGGTTCCGTTGACCACAAGGTTCCATTTACGTAACAGACGTGTTGCGAGACTCGCATATCTCGCATGTCTTTTTCCTAGAAACGTCCAAGTGTGCTCGTAAGCCGTACGTGGAATCGAAAGCTTTACGAAGCTTCTTCGTGTCACTTCGATTATTTTTCTTTTTCTTTTTCCTCCTATTCCTCTTTTATTCCTCTCTTATTCCTCTAATACCAAGTCTAACCTCACTCGAACATCGGCACTATGAAACAACGGCAGTGTATTTCTCTAGTTGCATTTCTCGGTCGCGTCATCGAGGTCGAATCTAAGAAAGAACGTATTTACTTCTTGTTTACTGGACTTCGGTAATCTTCTCAGAGTGCAAGCGACAAACATTCGTTTCCATAATACTTTTCACGCGTTATACCAATATGCTTTCGAAACGCGAGCCAATTAATGAAGCGAGAAAGGCCGACCACTTTTCAACGAATTTTCAAGATCCGGGATCAGCTGGTGGATCGGTCGTGTGCAATTAACGAGCACGTGGGTGGTAGCTGTTCGCCTGATTTCCAGTCGCAGCGACTTTTCACAGTTCGATCATTTGTACTTGGTGTGCCGTACGGTGAACGATAGTACTTGTGTACGACAACAAATTACAATATACAGACTTATACGAACTTTCTGTCGTTAAATTCGCTCATACGATAATAGATTTTTGACACTATTTTTGAGTCGGTATAAATTAGTGCGACGATTATGTTATACGATATTTAATTGTTTTAAATTCGAGAATAAAATGAAATAAATACATCGAAAACAATAGGAACCAGCAATGAAAGTTGATGATTAACCACGTGGTTTATTATTGCAGATGTCGGAGTTCCCAGTGGAGGGAGGGGAAAACGGTGACATGCACACTGTTATGGAGAATTTTCAAAAAAAGAACAACATGGTGAGCGGAAGGAGCCACGTTACCCATCATCCACAGGTCACTTCGTCGTCACAGGTAAATTTTCAATTACATATTTAATTAGTTAATCGTAAAATAAAACACCAAACAAAGTTACATACGTAATAAAAAAGAAGATACAAATATTAAGGAATGTATATCAAAAACGATTATCGATAGACTGGATTTTTATGCAAAATATTTGTATTTCAATTAAACTAGACGATTCTAAAGAAGTAGACAATCAAACGGACAATTCTAAAATATATAACTATCTGTATGACTAGACTGCATATTTATGCAGATTTATATTTTTCTGAATCTTGTAACAAGTGCTATACTTTGAATACTTTATACATCTTTGCATGTTTAACGAACTCTGTGTTTTTTACAGAAGTATAAATGCATAAACATCCGCAATCTATATATATATGTTATGTTTTATATGATCTACATTTTTGTATACGGCGTACATTTTTCTATATTCAATCTCGCGTAAATGCATAAACATTCGCGTAAACACCAATCTAATTGCCAGATAAGTGAAACGAATTTTTAAATAGGAAGAAATCAAAATACAAAAAACTACGTACCAGGCTATCGATTGCACTGAAAGTTTTTAAATGTAACCACTGTTTTGACTGCACGAACTACATCTAATCGTTCACATGTTTCTCTGCCAAGAGCTGGCAAAATTCAGGTCCAAGAGTGAGTTTTAATCGCCGCAACCCCGTCTTCCCTAACGCGTGTCTCTCAAGAATGACTTAATAAGCTGCCATCGAACTTTCTATTTGGAGATTATGACGAAGAATGACCTTTAATTCGACTAGAGCGTCGCGACGCGACGCCTCCCACCCACGCCAAATTTCCCGAATTTCTCGAAAACTAGGAATTATTCTGTCGGGAACGCCTCCCGGTTCCGCGACCAGCTTGAACGAATTTCCAAAATTAAATCGACGTCACTTTTCACCAAGTATCACGCGCCACGTGGCCAGAACAACTCACAGACAATCTTAGAAAGAGAAAATTCTCAACGACAGCGAAGCGAAAATACCGAGCTATCGTCTTTGATAAGGCATGATCGATATTTTGAAAACCTATTGCGAGTAAAAATATGTTTAATCTCTACGAAGCGTGAGGCGTTTATTATAAGCAGATTTCGAAATAGATTTTATAGTAACAATATAACAGCGTGAAAGATAAAAATTCCTCGATACATTCGTTGCTATTAAAATATGACTAACTGTGTGTTTGTTTTTCGTTTGTTCAAAATGAAACTTTAAGTACACGTCGGTCTTTGTACGCGCCTACTTTCAAATCCTGTTATTTTCTGTTTATTTCGGTCACGGGATATCGCGATTTCTTGAAACAGAATTACCTACACGTTCTCGTTGAAACTATTTATACCTTCGCTTTTTATGGGCACTAAAATTATATATATGTAATTGTACTAAGATAGAATCGTCTGTAGTTGTTATCTGTGTTAGTTGCAATAAGCAAAATCCTCTTGGCACCAATTGGTACACGTGGAAAACGTTGAACCCTCGCATAATTTCGGTCACGTATTTCTTTTCAATCACGTGACTCTGATCCTCGGTAGAAGCTTAAAAAGAAAGAAGATTAACCAAAAGATCGCGAAGAAAATTTGGAATAAGATCAAAATTCGATTGAAAGTAAGGGAGAGTCTAGGGTATCTATTTTATTAAGAAATTATAATATAAAGATCTAGAAACGCGATTCGTTGGTCAAAATCGACCGATTATGCAATGATGTAGAGTCCACGTGTTTCAGTACCGCCCACTGATACCCTTATCATCGAAACATTCTCTTTTAATTACGCCTTGATTCCATCCTCAATGGATTTTCATGTCAGTAAGCTTTCGATACTCATCAGTGTATTTTGTTTCGAGGCAGCGTTCTTGAAAGTGCAGTGATATATTGAGAATTTAAATAGTTTCTTTTATTTGATAGTCTATTTGCATCGATGAGTCGATTAGACGAAAGTAACGATCGTCGCGTAATCATAATTAGATCGTTTTTGATGCAGTCTGTTGAGTAGGTAATTATTTGAGAATTTCTTACATTCTTTGTATCAATGAGTGGAAAAAAAATTGAAGTTCAGATTATGACTGAGAACTAATGGCTCATTTACCGAGAATTCATTAAGAGATGAACCAGATTTTAAAATGGTATTTGTTAGTTCAAGCATTTAAATATTCGCAATTCTCAATACGAAAATTCACCTGTGTATCTAAATGTAAATTAGAACGATGGGATTTCGATACAAAAATTCACACACAAGCGATCGAATGATACAAAGATTCATCAATTTAAAATTTAGTTCTAAATAATTTTATTCTGAACTCTATATTTTCATAACATTTGCATCGTTATCATAAGTGAAACTGAAATCTTTAAAAACTTTGATCACGATCATCAATATCGTACGTACAGTTGCCAGACACTCGAATTAAAAACCGATCTTTCTTATCTCTCTTTAGTCGGAATTCTTCATCTCTAAAGAAATATTCACGTAATCACCGATCTTATGCATCCTTCTCACTTTACGTAATTCTTGCCCACGTGAATTTTTTTTAACCTAACCGAAACCAAACATACGACTTGCAGGCCTGCGATCTTCAAGGATATCATTCTCAAGGATTCATAATCTCTTCATAATCGCTTCATAATCTCTTCTTCCTCGGGACGTTGAATTTACTCGTCTTCTAACGAACGTTCCTAGGAATGTTCTGAGAATCTGTTGAATATTAGAGTTTCCTAGAGTATTTAGAAAATAAATTTACATCGTTTGTTTGAAATAACCATCGAATCGATCGTTGCCACGGCAAATGAATTATTCGGAGTTTGATTTCACTGGAAATAATCCGCTGCGTTCGAATGTCTGATATACAGGGTGTGCCAGAAGTAGAATACTGATATATGCAGCTGATTACGGAGTATCAAGTGTCACATAAAGTTTCTCTAATTTAAAAGCAATTTAAAAGACCGTCTCTGTTGTTTGACATGACATTTCACTTCGATAGTTTATACCTTCAATTACTCGGTAGATTTTTCTACCATCCGATAACGAGAACAGTTCGATAATCGAATCTTTCGTCGCGCCGTGTGATCTTTTATATCATCGAGTGCTTAAAATTTTTCTCCGCGTACGATTTCTATCTAAAATTTCCTCTTTGTCAAATTTCAAATACACAAATACGAAACGTAAGTTCTGATCTACCTTCCCTAAAACACTGTCATCTAATTTCCCTGAAACAAATCAGATCACCGAAATTACATAATTTATCGAGAAACGTAAATTTTCGCAATACACGCACAATAACCGCGAAAATGTCATGGATTGGATCCAAACAGCTTAACAAGAAGGAAAAATCTGTGAAAAGTGACTGGGACGATTCGCGTGAAAAACAGAGACCAAAGGTGTACTTTGAGAGAGCGGTTACAAAAAAAGAGAGAGAGAATGAGAGTGAGAGAGGAAGAGCCTGAGACGAATAGGCGAGAGTGAGTCATCTCACGTGGATTTTAAATAGAACGTAAACGGCTTTTGACTCGGCAGATGCTGACGACGAACCAGAGCCAGAGCAGCAGCAGCAGTTCGAGCAGGGTGGCCAAATCCTCGCAGAGGATTCTTACCTCGTCTTCATCGAGTGAGATGAAAGCAAGCTCCATGAAGAGCGACCTAAGAGAACTTCAACGCGGCATATCCGAAATGAAGAACAATATTTCCACGAACTTTTCACAACGATTGCGAAACAGCATGGAGAACCTCGTGGATAGGTAGGTCCTTTAAATTATTATTGCTCTTTATATTCGTTTTACGTTCGTTTATATATTTAGTAAATTGTTTCATTGATTTATGATGATCGATCATCTTGTATACGCGTGGATCACTATGTTGTTATTGTGATAATTTGTTATTCGTGTTTAATATCGGTGCGACAATTCTAAAAGTATACTTTGTAATAGTAGAAGCAGTGAGAGCCGTGAATCTCGAATTGTCGCTTAGAGGAAGTTCCGCGATACGTTTCTTGACATTTGGAATGTTGATAAAAGATAAAATCTTTGATATAATCAATGTTAAGATTTTATATAAAACTCGAGATTAAAAAACGATTTATTGTGGTTGATTGGGAAATTAGGATTGTTACGAACGAAGATAAAAGTACATTTAAGAAAATTTGGAAAAAATCAATCCTATCAAATCAAGGTAAATGAAATTAATAGCAATTTCTCGTGCCATAGAGTGTCTAGGAGAAATCTTAAATTGACATCTTACCAAGAATACCACTGAGCTGTCAAAAATCTTCAAATAAATTGTCGTATAAAATTTAACGAATCCTCCGTACAGGATTAGATTTCTATTAAATCGTCGTGCAAAATTGGAACGTGCAATGATCGAAACTTCACGAATTGAAGAGTCTCTGCGACTAGACTCGATTTCTCTCTCGTAATCAGCAAAGTCACGTCCACCGCGTTATTTATAACCGGCAAATTCCCGTTTTAGCCGCGTGCTAAGCGATTATTTTCAAAGCTTCTCTCGCGTTCCTCGCATCGCATAAACACGAAACGCGCGAAAATCTGCTCGTAATCCTTACAAAATCCAGTTTTGTATTTTTCACAGAGATGGAAACGGGACGGAGGAAGGTGACTTGACGGAGCCACTGGTGACGTTTCCGGATCCAGACACTCCACCACCCGCCACGGGAACAGTTACGTTAACAGGAGGTTCACCCTCGCAATTGAGCTCTCTGAACTCACTGAATAATCTTCACAATATGAGTCCACCGATCAGCATGTCGAATATTTCGAATATGACGAACCTACCTGCTGGACAGGAGACGATGAAATTCGAACAGAAAAAGATGACAAGTGCTTCCAAGACGAAGGTAAGATGTTTGGTATTCTCGTTTTACAAATTAGATTGAGGATAGCGAACAGCTCTCTTGTATAACGATAATAATAATAATTTAGCATACGATAATATTAGTAAAAGTCAGAAATTACAAGTTTGATCCTGTCTCTTTCAATTGTGCAATTATACGTCAAGTAGAATTGATTAATTTGTAACATTTACGTGTACAGCGTCACCTGTTTTATTGTCAAGTTTATTATGAAAGAGGATTTATTAGTATCGCTGATAATTTGCAATTTGTGGCTTGTAAAATTTCATTAACGATATTGGCTCAATTGTACAAGGACGTGATTTGGATATCAAGTGGCAAAGTGATAGTGATTCAGATGTTTGATACTTTTGTTTTGTAGATTAGGTTGGTGAAAGATAGAGAAGCAGTATTTCGATGACTAAAAATAGGGAAAGTAATTCGGGTAAAAATTTGGCTTTCTTTGGGATTTTTAATCAAGTGAAGTGCCATACTGTGTTGATTTGTGTTACATAGAGCAGTTTGGAAGTTATAGTATGGCAGTTGAAGAATTGAAAGTACTCAGTTTGCAGTTTATCGTCAGTAAGGTAAAACACAAAATTGCAATTCACGTGTCACGTAAGAACAAAGCCAAATCCTACAACGAACAATTTCTACTGTGTCTTTGTACTTGTTATAAAAAACGATCTTATCTAGACATTCAATTTATCTTTCATTTTTTTTTAAACACTAATCGATAAAGAGCTTAAAAACTTAAAAAGGAAACAAGGAGAAAGCGATGTATAGTATTACAATAAATTATATTTTATCGATTCAAGAATTTTTTCAAAGTTATGAAATATAATGCAATACAATGCAATACATATAATATAATATAATACATTCTAAATCTCGCCAAGTCTCGTGATCATTTTATTATTATAAGCTTAGAAGACTTAGAAGCTCTAATTGTGACAATTTATCGATGAAAACTTAGTTTTGGAATCGAATCATTTTCTGTTCGAAATTGCGCGTGAAATAATCGATGTCTCGTGGAGATCGCGATGCTGCGCAATGTTTGGCCGAAGGTGCGGTTTCCTCTAGGTAGTCTAGGTCAAGGACTTCGAGTCTATCTCTAGGTAACTCCTCTAGCCAAGCTATCAGTGACGTATCTATTCGCTGTATACATCTCGGAACATGGTATAATCATCCAAGATGGCATTTCATTTTTCATAATATTATTATACGTAATAGTATTATGCGTAGAATGATAGTCGGTTTCGTGCCGCTTATTTTTAATGTCACGCCTTATTCCCTTAGGAGCTGAACTCTTTCCGCTTGAATTATATTTTTAACTTCACTTCCGTCATGGCAAGGTCGGTGTTTCCACCCTCTTTCGCAAACTTAGAATAATACAGTCGAAAAATTAACGATCCTCCATCAATCCCTTCAATCTCATTAACCTTTCTAAATCATTTACGTCCCGAGTAAAATTTCACACGTGAATATTTTTCAAGCGAATTTTTGTTTTTCCTGAAAAGTTTTTTCCGTCCTACGCACGTCTGTTTATTGGATCTAAATCTTCTTAGAGCCAGACGCATACCAATGCCATTTAACGAAATTAGACTTGTGTCTGTCCATTGAGCGTAAATCTCCGTAGAACCAGACAACTTGCGCCAATGCCATTTGGCGCGATTTTGGACAGAGTTTGGACATCTGAAGACAATGTTTCGCTTTATTCCACAAATTCTGCGATTCTCTTATCAAACGTGTGATACCTCCTCGCTGAGTCCAATCACCCTACCATAGGGTTGTTCGAATCATTTTCTCGTTTTTGATAGTTTCTCTTGCTGGACCCTGGAATACACGACATTTTCTCGTTCTTTCGTTGTTACACGAAAGACTGATGACATCTCATAAAATACGAGTTTGATCATTCTGTGCAAAGACGAAAGTTAGGTTACGAGATGTCGAAGGTTGGGCGACTGAAAAATTAACCGATCTTACTGTAACATGGACATTTATTAATCTTCGATTCGTTTGAATTGCAGGTTGTTACGGACGGCTTTAGCGCTGAAAAGGCGACGGCAAATAGCGCCGAGATGAGAGCTTTACAAGCTGGCGACGTCTCGTACAAGGAGCAAAGCGCCGCGACGGCGGCCAGGGCGCGCGTCGAACTCGATGGCGTCTCCGCTGAGAAGAGCGTCGCCGCTGCAAGGGTGAGTTTACCATAAAATTGTCTCCGACAGTTTGATAAACTCTCGCGTATTTCACATACATTAGAACCTCTTAACTTACCGTGAAGATCGTGATAAATCATTCTAATAAGGTGGCGCATAGCAAGAACCAGAATAGGCAGATATGTAAGAATGAATTTATTCGTTAAACGCGAGCTTTAGGAGCTAGCTGTAGAATTTCAATAAAGATTCTTTATCTCTCGCGAGCTCTACGATTGAGATCTGGGAATTCCAAAATTGAGGTCTAGAAATGTGATGTATTTCACTCCTAACCCTGCAGTGTTATTAACACGTAATTCGACAAAATAATATAAAACAAAAAACGTTGTGCGTCTATTATTTCCTCATAAAACGAAAGAAACTTTGCGAACAACCTAATAGATATGTATAATTGCTTTCTTAGTATGTTGGGAAACTTTGTGCTATGAAAGTAAGAAAATTTTAATATGACATACCTAATAGATATGTATAATTGCTTTCTTAGTATGTTGGGAAACTTTGTGCTATGAAAGTAAGAAAATTTTAATATGACATACCTAATAGATATGTATAATTGCTTTCTTAGTATGTTGGGAAACTTTGTGCTATGAAAGTAAGAAAATTTTAATATGACATACCTAATAGATATGTATAATTGCTTTCTTAGTATGTTGGGAAACTTTGTGCTATGAAAGTAAGAAAATTTTAATATGACATACCTAATAGATATGTATAATTGCTTTCTTAGTATGTTGGGAAACTTTGTGCTATGAAAGTAAGAAAATTTTAATATGACATACCTAATAGATATGTATAATTGCTTTCTTAGTATGTTGGGAAACTTTGTGCTATGAAAGTAAGAAAATTTTAATATGACATACCTAATAGATATGTATAATTGCTTTCTTAGTATGTTGGGAAACTTTGTGCTATGAAAGTAAGAAAATTTTAATATGACATACCTAATAGATATGTATAATTGCTTTCTTAGTATGTTGGGAAACTTTGTGCTATGAAAGTAAGAAAATTTTAATATGACATACGAATACGCAATGCTAATGGTCACAAGTTTGATAACAGAACAAATGAAATTCAACAACCAAACTATCCTATCGATGGGAAGTTATAAGATTGAGAAAGAGGAGTTTGCTCTTACGATTCTTCGATTCGCTAATGATACATTGTAACGATTCGCTAGAAATGATTATACAAGAGAGCGCACAATGTACGAATAACAAAGAACTGCCGTTTCTTCGAAATATCTGAAACGAAAATGAATAGAGCTTGCAGTTGTAGGATCAAAAAATAAATAATCCATTCACAAAGAGCGAATTGTAACATCTATAGATAGCAGAACACTCGCAGCAGTCTGTGTCCAATTAGATTTAGAATTTATTCACACGAAGTGAAACCTATTTTCCTCAAACTCGCTGTAAGTATCTTTCGTCTATTGTTATCGCCGCGAATGTAGTTGGAAAGCAAATATCGCGATATCGGTTGGTTCCGGACGATTCACCGGAAGGCGTTGCACTGGGTGCGGCCTAAACTCAACTCGCGTACAATAGTTTGGCACGAAACTGACCGAGCTAGCAGAGAGGAACTTGCCTTCCCTTGGGTCGTTGACACGATCGCTTCTCCTTGCTGATGATCTCTCGCGTTCGAACACCGACTGTTCTCACGCGATCGACGCATAAACATTTTCTTAAACGTCTCCGATGTTCGGGGAAACGCCGAGCCATTACTGCATCGTTGGAACTTCGGCACACGCGTCACCACGAGAGAAATCTGGAAGAAGATTCAACTATCGATCTGATTATGATTCGAAAAATGATCTTCTCACGGAATTAATAAAGCGTTTCTTAGCGATCTTTTTCTTCTAACGATGTTGGCTTTAGGGTTGCTCGCCTAAAAAAGATAGAAACCAGATTAGATCAGAAGAAAGAAATCATGGAATTTTTAGAGAATTGAGAATTTACCATTGGAAATTATCATTCTGTCGCATCTTTCTGCGCTTGTAATCATTTCTATCGACAATAATCCGAGAGTAGTTTAACAAGAAATCGTTTTAAGTATACTAAACTAAGATAAATTAATCTTCTAATCGCGTTTCTTTTCATCCTCCGGCGACAAAACATCAACCGAGTTGTTCAATCTTCCTAATTAATTATCAAACAACATCGAACATTATTATCCGAGCTTCTATTTCAGTATCATCAAACAGAAATAATCAAGAAGGTTCGATCTAATTAACAACTGCCCAATTACAAAGTGTTTCGTCTAAGATGAACAAGCGTGGAATATTCTTATAATCACTCGGTTCTATATATATGGCCGATTTTCGAGAAACACCGATAGCTTATCTTGAATCGATCAACAACTGTCGTTATTATTTATTCATCCTCGTCTCAACTTCTTCCTACGTGGTGTGCAATGTCGAAGTATGTTCCAAGAACGCGTTGAAAGTATGTAGGTTTGTGGAATGGGGTTATTTGTCTGGTGAAAATCGTCGAACTCGGATAGACCGCGAATCGCAGGGCCTCGTTGTCGATTATGCGAACAACGTAACTCGTTTTCACCAGATACTCGTCTATTTACGCAACGTCCATGCGCTAAATTTAACCAGCGTTTTTCACCAGGCCACGTAGCTTTTGAGTCAGCTAGGGAATTTTTGACACAGAGCCACTGACTGCTACCACGATGCACGATGTTGTGTAGCTGTCTCAATTTATCGATGGCAATTCGACGTTCCGTTACGTTCCTTCCTCGTTTTCTCTTTCTGTCTTTTCCCTCTTGCAATGTACAACCAGGTTAGGTTTATCTCTTTCTTGGAAGCTGGGGTTAGGTTAGGTTGATCTTCCTTTGAAAGGTAGAGTCAGGTTAGGTTGATCTTTCTCTGGAAGTTAAGGTTAGATTAGGTCGATCCTTTTTCAAACATAGGGTAGGTTAGACGAATCTTTTTTTTAATATTGCGATAATTTGAATCTCATTGTGACAAAATGAACAGTCCCTTACAGTATATTGTACATTTTTCGTTACAGGATACCATATTAACTGTAGATACATTATTTTCTTAAATTGTTAGACTATGGTTTGCTAATAATAAGTAGATGAAGTTATAAATCGCTAACGTAGATTTTGACAGTAAGACAGTACGTGATAATGAAACAAAAGAAAGTTCTGTAGTTGTTTACCCTACTCAATATTACCAGTTATTTCAGCTCTGCTACCAACCTAAATCGCCAGACATAAATCAACTATATAAATCCATACTCCGATCTACTCGACGTTGTAATACATTCTCCTAGAATATAGAATCCTCGACACCATCCAACAAACAATGTTAAAGTAAACAATTGTCGCGAAACGCGGACGGGAGCAGCCTCGAAATAGCCACACTTCGAATTTATCGCACGTGGAAGTCTCTTCCACGATTTAATGGAACGTTCGCGTGTCTACCCTTAAGACAATGGATTTTCCCTGGTTGCCGCGTGCCGTTCCCTCGAAATCGCGTGTGCTTACGCGAGCCTTGACCTGTCCAAGGTTCTTTTCGCTATAAATCTACCCTGTTAACACGCGTCTCCTCGATCGATCGGTTTCTAAAAATTTGTTCGCGTTAGCGTGCTTTTCTGTGACATATCGAGGAGTCCGTCATAGAAACTACCCCTGGGTAATTTATCGATCTTTCGAATGGTAATACGTTCTAGTAGTCGGAGCAGTGAAACGAAACGTATCGAAAATGTATATGTTTTCCTGGAAGAAGATAGGCCATGGACAAGGATCGTTTTTCAGAGCTTTATGCTATGAGGCAATATTTAAAATAGGGAGTACAGTTTTGGAACTCGAGAATGTTTCCTAGAAGTAGTTCAAGTAGCCACGCAACTTCTGGAAATTGGATTATTCAGACGGTTCGATACAAGAAAGTTTTATTACCGATCGGCCGTTGGATGGTTCCAAAAATTGCATTCAAAGTAACCGCAGTTGTTGGCAAACACGTTTAGAGATCATTACGTGTGGTTGCATTTTCAGATGAATCACTGGATGCACGTGTCCTGTTACGCATGTGGCTTCGATAGAATGAATCATAGCTATCAGCTGGGAGAATTTTGAGATTGAAAGAGAGAGAGAGAAAGAGAGAAAGAAATTTGGAGTTCGTTACAAGATTGAATATCTTGATCGATATTCTTATGCACTCCTAAAACAGTAAGACAAGTAGAAAAATATTAAAGAAATCAACTGTTCTCGAATTTGTAGAGACCGTAGCTTCGATAACTTTGATTCTCAAATGTATTTTCATTCGAAACGAAATTTAAGTTTGATCCAAAAAGAAAATTGAACGAGCAATTCGAAGGCAAACTGATACAAATGACAAAACGTTCAATTTGAAAAAATACTAATTTCCAATAGAAAAATCTGTACGCTTCTAAACATCAAACATCTGCAAGAAGCTTTTACACTTTCGGGGGATCGTAATAAAACTCTTCGCATGAAATATTAGAAATAGACTAGATAAACTGTATCTTTTTTTTTTTTTTTTGAAAAAAGAACTTCGAAGAAAGAGACGAATTTCTCCCACGCGCAGAGATGTTTCCATGGAGATGAAATTTCCCCTCGACTCACGAGGGTGAACGCGGTTCAAACGGAATAAACGCGGAACAAACAGCACGAACGATCGATCGGCGTTTTCCTGAGGGCAAGGCAGTTAGTTGCTGGCACTGTTAGAGGTCGGTTCGCGTGTGTCGATGGGGCAGCAGTTGTCGAGCTTAACACGGAGATATTTCCCCGTTTTGAGGCCCAAAAGCGGCACAGGACGGCAAAGAATCATGGCGAACGAAAGTTTTGCTAATAAATCCCCGAGAATGGTACGATTAAAGTATTTCAATTCGATCTATAACACGGTGATTTCACTTCGGCTATGATGTCATGAGAATTGATCGTTTCTTTAAGCTATTCTCGTAGCTAGTTTTCAAGAAAGGGATTGTTAAGTTTACGTACATGAAGAAAGA